AGAAACGTTCATGTACGTCAGTCTCTTGAGGCCAACGAGACAGACTGTTTTATTTATCCAGTCAGACATTAATTTCACTGATTAACACACCTTCAACCCTACAGGAAGCTAATCTCGTAATCACCTACCTGTCACATTTTTTTTTCCTGGAATGAAAACGTGCCAAGCATTAGCTGCATATTTATGTGATAAATGACAAAGTTTGACCTTTCGTGTGTTTATGTGATGAATGCATCGTCCACGCAGCTGGGCAGCGGCCAGACACCGGGCGAGCTGCTGACCCCTCTGGTCCTGAACTCCATCCTCAGTAAGGCCCTGCAGTACAGCTTACACGGGGACACCCCTCTGGCCGGTAACTTCACCTTCGCCCTTCGCTTCCTGCCTGAGACCTTCCACCCACACGCCCCAGACTCTCTCAACTGCTTGGAGCTGCGCTACAAGGTGAGTTTTTTTTTTTTTTTTAACAGAGCGAGTAATGGCTGTGCTTGTCTCAGCATGAATGGCAGCTTGAATGTGACAGCCTGTCATGTTTTGACAAACTGCTCTAGGTGTGGAAAATGAGCTTATCACGCACTTTAATGGTTCAACCACATAGACTGATTGGAGTTGTATCTTTTGGGTGACATGCACAGTGACTAATGCTGCACATATTGTCCTCAGCTCTTGCTCTGTTCTTCTCCCTCCACTATATCACGACTGTTTCTGTTACCACTGAATCTCCATCATGTACCTCTCCTGATCCTTATCTTTACCTCTTGCTACACGTATCTTGTGTCTCCTCCTCTCCCTCCTTATTTCTTCCCCGTTCCCTCCACCTCCATGTCTCACCACTCGCTTTACTTCACAATCCTCTCACCTCCTTTGTCAACATCTCTGTCTTCACACCTTTCTTCGCTCACTTCGCATCATCCATCACTTTCTCTTTACCTGTTTTTCTCGACTCTCGTTTCACTTCCCTTTCCTTCACACTCGCTCGCTCTCACAAGCTTCTCCTTCTCATCTGTGTTTTTTTTCTTTTTCTTTTTTAACTTCTTGTCATCTCCCAGGTGGACTGGCCGTTGAATATCATCATCACAGACAGCTGCATGAACAAGTACAACCGTCTGTTTTCGTTCCTGCTGCAGCTCAAACACATGGTGTGGAGCCTCCGTGATGTCTGGTTTCACCTCAAGAGAACAGGTGAGGAGACGGGAGCTGCTCGTTCAGCCTCGGCTCGGACTTTACCATGCCCCTGAGAGGGAAGAGTTAAGTTTCTTCCTGTTGTGCCTCAGCTGTTTATAAAATATTCATCAAAGGGGATGTTGGAATTCTTTTTATGTTTTATTTATACAAAGCACATCTCAGACCGGTGGGACGTTTGTAAAACAGTGTGCTTCACTGGGTTAGATAGTATTGATCAGTGAAAGCCTGTGTACAGACTACATAAATGGATGGATCCTGATGGGACCAAAAAAAAAAAGTATTCTCTTGCTAGAGGGATGCAAACTTTAGCAGGTATATTATTGATATCACTGATCACATGGGGAAAATGGAGATGATGACTCAATACAGGAATGCATTTTTGACCAAAAACACATTTGACACAAACAGAAACAGAAACAGTGCTTGAGAACACAATCAACCGAGGACTGTCTGCATAATAATTATAGCTCCAACTATCAGTTATTGTCTTTGCTGAGCTACATGTATTGATTTTTGTGATTTAAAGCAAAGTGTTTGAGGTTTCCAGAGCCTTAAGTGAGCTTAAATTGATTTATTTACTCTCTTTAAAAGGGATATAAGCGCCCAGAGGTTTTGCTTTTTTTTCAGTAAAAACAAGCAGCAAACCCACACATGCACATGTCAGAGTCAAATGTTTATTTTCAGTCCTTGCAGCACTAAGCATAATTTTTGTTTCCATCTTTTTGTGCTTCCCCCAGCGCTGGTGAAAGGCGCAGGTCGCTCGGTGCAGTTCCGTCAGCTGCAGTTGTACAGACACGAGATGCAGCATTTTGTCAAGGTGATACAGGGATACATCGCCAATCAGATACTACAAGTGTCCTGGAGCGAATTCACCGCCAAGCTGGCCGCTGCCAGCGACCTGGATGCCATCCACCGCACGCATGCAGACTACCTCAACAGAGCCATCTTCAGGTGAGCGCTGGAAGTGCAGATGTACAATTTAAGGTACAACTGAAGTGTTAATTTCAGTATAATGCTGGCTGTTGTCCCTGTGCATACATTTAGGTGGTATATGATATTTTTCAATAGGACAAAGAACGACAACTTGGAACAAGAAAAAAAAAAAAGCCCTTGAACACAGCTCCGTGTGTTGGGTGTTATCAGCGTTCAGCCTGAGGAAACAGTTTGTCATAATTTAAAAATGTATGTGGTGTATTTGAGCCTAATTTTACATTAGTATTCAGCATGTCTTGATACAATTTGTTAGTCTTAATTAAAATGCATTCAATCAAAGTCCCATGACTGAACTAAGCCTACAAATAATAACTCAAACTGTCAAATGAGGGCATTTTGCAGTAACAAAATGTTAAGATGAACATTAGTCTTTAGACCCAGATGTCTCACATTGGTAGAAACCTGAGGTGCGCTGCTCACTTTGTCTCATCTTAAGCAAACCAAAACTGGACAAGGACAAACTAGATCTGGTTAAACATTTTCTTTCTATATTGGCTTCCATTTTTCTTTGGTCTCACGCAGGCCCAGGCCTAGCTCCTTTCAGGTTTGTGTTTTGTTTGTTAGGGCTCAGTTTATTTTTAGTAATAAAGCTAAAGCTATAAGCTGATTAAAATGAGCTGCAAATTTTTGGCAACTGATTAAGCATTTTGGTAATTTTTAAAATATTTTAATTTCTCTGGTTCCAGTTCACCAAATGGGAATATTCTCTGTTTTTCTTAGTTTTCATCAATTAACCAATATCCTGGGGTTTTCTGACCATGAGCATCAGTCCAAACCTCAGTATTCACATTCATGTTTTAGAATCAAGGTTGTGCATGTTAGCCTAAAAAACAGACTTTTTTTTTTCTTTAATTGATTAATTGTTTAAATTACATAATAGCTTAAACCAGTCAGTACATTAAAATAATAATAGTTAAATACAGCACCACTACATACACATTTTTGGGAACCCAGAGCCTTTGCATACTGAAGGATTCAAAAGTAAGTCTTGTTGAAGGTGCTCCTGCAAATTGTTATGAATTTTTATATAGATACCCAAAAATCTATTTAAACCATCACAAATGCAGACTGCGACAACACGAAAGGCAGAAAAAATTAAGCTGAGTAATAAAATTTCTTCAGGCTCTGTACGGGCGCAGCAAGTTGAAGTGGCACACTTTGCTCCCATAATTTCATATAAAATTAATTCAACCTCGTCGTAACAAGTTAATTAAAATTCCAACTGGATCAGAGGCTAACTTTTGAACCCGATGAATGATTTAATCTCATTAGGAGAGGTTGTCACTATCACACTCTTGTGTGTGTGCGTAATTTCAGCCTGTCTGAAAAATCATTTAAAAGTTTCCTGTCATGTTTCTTAAACTTTGCACTCCTCCTCTCTCTGTCTCTTGCCTCCCCAGAGGTCTGCTGACAGAGAAAGCGGCTCCGGTCATGAATATCATCCACAGCATCTTCAGCCTGATCCTCAAGTTTCGGGCCCAGCTAATCGCACAGCCCTGGGACAGCCAGCAGGGGGAGGCAGTGCACCCCAGCTTTATTGCCATGCAGCAGTCATACAACACCTTCAAGTATTACTCTCACTTCCTTTTCAAAGGTAAGGCCGGAGAACATAGTTTTACATCCGTCTGAACAAAATTTAGCCTGTTCATCTGCATTTACCTTCGCTGATAGTGTTTTAGGCAGATCATCATCATAAAGCAGTCCTGATCCCCCTTTTTTTAACTCACCGGTTAAATAACAATGATTCAGCTGTTGCTCATTTTAACAATTATAAAAGTAATGGACGTGCTATAAAGGACCCACTTGACATTCAGTTAGTAAGTGAAAGTCAAAAGCTAATAATGAAATAACCAGGACTAAAAATGAGAAGGCACAGCAAGGTGTCTGATACGGAAAATTATAAAAGGAACCTTTTTTACTGTCAGGAGTGAATAGATAAGAACAGGATTCTGAGCTGAAAGGTTCATCATTGACTCAGACGAGCCAAGAATTGCAAGAAAATGATGTGACTGTATCATAGAGGTAATGACAAAATGCTGCAGGACAAGATTTAAATTTTAGGTCAGATTAGATTTTAGTTTTAGAGCACATAAATTTGCTTCTGAGGAAGAATCATCCAGGTGTATTGTGTAGTCTTATTTTGTAACAGTAGAGTCCGTGTAGTATTAAACAGTGTGTTGCATTGTTTTAACTCATGTCTAATGTGCAGTTCTAAAAAAAAAAAAAAAGAAAAGAAGTACTTAGACCTTTCTACTGAAGTTAAAGTATTTCATTGCTTTCTTCATTTGAGTGCACTGAAAATTGTCTGTCTTTTTTTCTTCTCTCAGTGGTGACCAAGCTGGTGAACAGAGGTTATCAGCCTCATTTAGAGGATTTCCTGCTTCGCATTAACTTTAACAACTACTACAAAGACTCCTGAGTTGTGTGCTGGTGTGTAAGTTCTCCTGGCCTTCATTTAAACATCCAAAATACTTTAAAAACCCACCTGTACTGTGTAGGAGGGCGCTGATGTGACACTGAAAACAGTTTAGGCACTCAAACTGCCATTATGTGCAGGATTCAAACGTCTGTGTGCTGAAATAATTATGCTTTGCCTCTGATATAAATGTGTTTGCTGCCAGTGTGTGTGATTGAGATGAAGCTATTGCCTATTGTAATGCATCCCATGCTCAGGTGTGCCTCCAGCTGTGTAGATTTTAAGAGAATATAAATTAAATGTCAGTGTAATGTAAATAAAAACCAAACCATTTGTTTATAATAAAATCTCTATGCTCTGGTTTTGATTGTAAAGCTCTTTTGTGAGGTAAAGAAAACACAACATTTACTTGAGTAAGAAAAATGACATATTTATTAAAGATTGCATGTTAACATTGGTCTTTAGAAAACTAGGACAAATTAAGTGCAAAGCCTGATGGGAAGTGAATTCTGGCAACTTCTGCCATTTACAGAAAGAAAAGCAGGAGAAAGAGAAAATGCAGTCCTTGCTATATTATGGAAATGCATTTTCGACACCATGAGTACCCAGATTTTTCCTGACGTTGCATTACTTACAAAGCAAAAAATATATCAAGACTGTGCAGCACAGCTGTAATGTGTGTAATGGGCTGCAGAGTAAGAGGATTTAGTTTCTTGACGGTAAAGTTGGAGCAAATCTTCTCACCAGAGAGAAAACACAGACATGTTTACATTATCCAGCTGGAAAGAACTTCCTGTAGACTGACGCACTACGCGTATTTGTATGCATTACTGTACTTTTATTATTGGTGTGATTGAAGGCTCTCAGTCATCACCTGAGGAGGGAGGATATAGGATGAATAAAACAGTCTGTACAACACCACACATCCTGCTCATATGATTTACATCAGGCAACAGAAAGAGAAAGTTTAACATTTAGGGAAATGCTCTTGTTGACTCTCTGGCAGAACGTCAGTGAAGTTACCATTTACATATTTATTCTCGTGGTTGCTGGGGGCATCGTGAGTACTTGAGTCACATCTGGGAACCCTGCCATTTTGAAACAGCAGCATCTGACATGTTGCACGGATTACAGTTGGCTTCTTAGTGCGAGAGTCACTCTCCCAGTGCTCTAGTGAATTTGAATGCCTCTTTGACTACATTCTGCCCTCCAGACTTGGCACTTCTACAACCTTCTTAGGTCAGCTGGCAGGTGATCCTCATTATGTGTTCACACCTGAATCGATAACTGCCATAAATATCCACACCTCTAGTCCGTTATATTTTACCTGAATATGCTGACAGTTTTCAATTAGCTACTGTAGTCGCTCCAAGCGGGCCATCCTTTACACAGCAGTTATGTCTAGTGTCAATATTTAGCTGCTATAATTAGCCCTCTGTAAGAAATGTGTGGGTGCAACACACTTTAATTTAGGTGTGCATAAATTATCTCATAATTATGAGATAATACTGCGCTGCAAACACCTCAGAACTAAAAATCTCCAACCTAATTTGCGGAAAAAGTATGATGGAATGGCTTCTGAGGTGAGAGCTCTGCGTGGGAGGCTTGGGCCAATTTCATGTAAAAGTAGATGCTCTGACATCAGTCAGATGGCAGCATCCACAAAAAGTCAACATTACTTAGCCTGTGTACAACATCTAACCGTACATGTAAGGCTGTTGCGTGAAATATTCTTACTAAACTGATGTGAAATATGTGTGACGAACTCTGTCACTTGTTCAATGTATCCAGTGAAGCTCAGCTGACATAAACATTCATGTGCTGCTTGCTGCCATAAAAAGCTGAGTTTCTTGCTGTCAGCCATGTTGATTGCCTGCATATGACATTGTTAATGTGTGGAACCTTTCCAGTGAGGAGTTCGGAAGTTCAACTTGGAAATTTTCAGACTTCTGAGTTGAATGAAACGCAGCTTTCATCTGTCAGCACCCTTGCGTTAAACAGCGAGGTGGTGTCGTTACACTTGCTTGTTGTACACAAATGAGCTACAACGTATAGCAGTTATGCAGATTAGTCTTTTCTGACTCCCTGTAAGAAAGTGAAGAAGTGCATTTTCCCAAAGTGAACTATTCCTTTTAATTACCATATGTATAGTCACAGCACTAGAACAAGAGCTCCTAAGTGAAATAGCCATACTTTGTCCTCATTTCAACGTGCTTCTGCCTCTGACATACCAAATAGAGTAAGAAAAAGCAAGCCGACAAGCAAACGCACTGGTCAACACAACGTTCAACGCCAAGTCACTTTCTTTGACCTCCTCTGTACAAAACATGTCACACTGACACAATACATGGGCTTCCACTGTCCACCGAGATTAGTGTTGCGGCTCGGACGGGTCGAAACGGAACGGACCTGCACCGGGATGCAGAGGGAAGGAAGAATTTCACAGATCACTTTCCCATTGCTTGGATTATCATTCATATGTATGAGCGAGGAGCAAAATTGCTTTTCCATGAGTGCATGATACCCCACTGTGGTCTGCCTTCATGCGTTACTGTGACATTTCAGTTGTTTTTTTTTTTTTCTTTTTTAGTATAACAGCTCAGTGCTCGAGAGTAGAGACTTTAATCTTCTGCAAAGGGAACAAGAGAGAGCAGCATTATTTAATCATGCACCGCAGCAGACCTAGCATATTGACTCTGATTAAACATTGTATAGACACTCGGAGAGATCATATTTACAGACTTTAAAGAGAAGGAGCACAAAGTAGTTTTTGGGCTGCTCAATGAGGAACTGACAGAGATAATCTTAAGACTTGTTTTGTACAGTTGGTAGCATAACAGTAATTCAGTTTAGAGGGAACGCTAACGATAGTCAGGGCAGGAGGGCAGAAAGAACACTCATGCCGACTGTGTCCTGTGTGCTTTAAGACACAAATGATCTGCTAGGATATCGATAATAGCACACTATGCACTAACTGCTCTGGAAAAAGGAGCTGACATTGTCCTAACCTACTTTTTAAGTCCTTCATTGTCTTTAAATCCTTCAAAATTTGTGCATTCTTTACACATCAGGTGTTATTATTAAACAGATACAACCCTTGGAAGTGCAATTTTTTTTCTTTTCTTGTACATGAATAATCAAGAAATAAACACCAAAGTAGTTGCATATGAGCCTTACGTACAAGTCAAAGTAAAGGATTAAACTCTCCAAACACAAACACTTCAAACTATGTAAACCTAAAATAAATGTAAACCTAAACTGAAGCGAATGATTCACCACCTTCTGTTAGGTGGACGGGGATATTAGAAAACAATGAAACACAACCAGTACCTATGTAATGTCCCTTTTGATGTGCATGCCACCTACAGTGGTGTTAAAAACAATGACAAAACTCCAAATCCAAAGACCCGTGCTACAAGTGATACCATGGAAAAGCATATCTAATGAAGCGCATAGCCAACCTGCTGTCAGCGTCTTCCGCTTTTAGCACAGCAAAAAGAGATGAAGTAGTAGTAACACAGGGTCAGTGGAGGTGAACTACGCTGTCTAGTCTCGGTGTTACAGTACCAGAGTTAGGGCTAGGGGTCTTTATCCAGGGAAACTGTTCCCTCCTGGGCAAAAGTCGGACTGTGATCCTGTTGTTGCTTTTCTTTTTTGGTCCTAACTGGAGCTAGGCCTCCGACTCCAGATCTTCTTGTCCTGCTCCGTTGGTCGTGTCGCCCGTTTCAGGCTCCAGGAGCAGGAACTTGCCATCGTTGGTTAGAGGCATGTTCTTCATTAGCTGGGCCAGGGCCTCTGGGTCCTTGTTAAAATGAAAAACACAGCACCACTGAGCAAGATTCTACATCATTGTGTTTGTAAATTGCTCAAGCTGTGGCAATAAATTCTGATTATACCTGCTCTGTCACCTGTATGCCATTAGGGCTAGGGAAGGTAAAGTGTTCCCTCTAGTGGGTGTGTTCCAACTTATCTTCATTAATATCTCCAAATTAGAGATGTTTCTGTTGTTGCCACTAAAAACACTACCCTTATTCAGTGCTATGAAACCTAAACCTAACAAAGTAATATAATAAAACTTCAAACGAAGTATTATTGACATAATATGGCTGAGATTAACGGAGAACATTTCCATCTCACATAGAAAAATTACCATGAGATCACTTTTCTTTGCCATGAAGAAGTATGCTATTTATTTCTTTGTGTTTTACTTTTACCTTTTGTTTATAACTTTCAAAATAACCTTTTAAATTACACCACCTTCTGTAAATACATAACGATAGCTGTTTTCGTTGTTTCTGTTTGATGGCGTTACCTTCTTAGCTTCTGTAATGTCCTTCGCCAAGTTTATGGTGTAACATATCTGTGAAAGAAGACAAAAAGACACAGGTGAACATACACGCTGTGCAACCCTTAACATGTTTGCCCTCCTTGACATAAAATCAGTGTTGATCATGTTGGTGCATCAACCTTTTCGCCTTCTGTGTTGCTCTCAAAGACAAAGGTGCTAAAGGAAGGCTCTCCCTCCTCATCTCCGTCGCTCCAGTCTCTGCTTTCCACCACGAATCCCATCAGCCTCCCGTTCTCTTGGTGGGCTGCAAACTGACACACCTCCCCAAGCTGGAACTGAGACATGAAGGATGTTGAGAAAGGGAAATTGTTTTAAATGTGGTAGGAGTCAAAGTACGGACACCATGACCTTTTTGTGATACTTACACTTATTCTCGTAACTTGAGTCTGTGGGTCAATCAACCTGTTGAAAAGAGAAAATTGAATTTTTTTAGATTTTGTTTTAACACCGATTTTCAGGGACAATCATCGACAATGTGACTTCTTCTTTGAGTGACTGAATCTCACCATCTTGTTAGAAGGTATTGCTTACACAAGGTAAAATCTCTGGCATACGTGAAAATCAATCATGGGTTACACGGCACCACGACATCCCATCCCCATCACCAAATGAGTTCTTTGCTACAGATGCTTTGATGGGACTTCAGAAGCTTCTTACTTCAAGGTCTTTTCTCTTTGTAGTCACTTCAGATAGTGATCTCCAGCACTGCTCGCCAACTTTTAGAAGGTTGTCCAGTTACAGTACCAAGGACGAACCCCAGAACATTTTTTTTCCTTTTTTTTATGACTCTTATTCAGCTTGAGACATGCACAGTCATGCAAACGTGAACACAGCTGTATGCACTCAGACATCTTGGATGTTACAAGCCAGGATTAAATGACAGCATTGCTTGTACACAAGGACATACAACAAGGTAAAGTTAGATAAACTGCAATATTAACAGAATGAGCTGTAAGACATGTTTTCATGTGGTAGACTAAAGGAATTCAAGACAACATAGCTATGATTGTTAAAAATGAGTACATGAACTGTTTTGCAGTGTTTCGTGTGGAAATATTGGAAAACACATTCTGGGGACATGTGTGACTGACTAATTTGCTGATAAGGGGGATGATATAGGTCATTTAATGTGGTAAACTTAATTAGATTGACATCTTCAATGGTTAATTGGCAAAAAAGAAACTATTTGTAACTAGTGGGAGAGGAATTGTGAAACTGTGACAGTGTTTAAACAATTGGAAGAATATAGGAATGTTATTTTTGTTGTCTTAACCGTTTTTCCCCCAGGCAAAAGGACCAAAATATAGTCATAGGAGCTTCAGTAGAAACCAACTGGACTGGATAGAAGACAGAAATGGCAATTGTACACTAATAAAGTAGTGTATTTGAATTCTTGAAAATAACAACTTGTAGATTTTCTCAAATGTTTTTTTTTTTTTTTTTTTTTTTTTAAACGTAGCTTTGCAGACAGAGATAAATCAAAGACCCAAAACTGTTAATTTCTTGGAATTCTCTTGTAGGTTCGACCTGAAGAAACCTCTTGGATGAGAGGTGAAGAACCTTCAAGGGAAATCCAGTCGATTTCTACTGATGCTCCTATGATTACCGTGACCTGGAAAACTGAAAATCTACTCAGATCAAAAAATAGCTGAGAAAACACAAGCAGCGTTATCCCTTTTTTCCTTTTTGTCACTTTACTATCAAAAGTAGCTTATTTTACACCTGCACTATGTGCCAACATTATTAAACATCAGCATTCTTGTTAGAAAGCATTAATTGAGGCATTTGTTTTAGCATTTTCTATCTATATTGGCAGACAGTGTCTGAATGAGATGACTTTGCTCTTAGAGGTGGTATTCATGTAAAAATGTGATAAATTCTACCTGATGCTACTGCTGGTGACCATGAGGTGAGACTCTGTGGTCCTGAAGATGTTGTGGATGGCTCGGGCAGCCAGCACCTGCCTCATGGCCTCGTAGATGACCTCTTGATTGTTGCCACAGCGAACCGCCATGGAGCCCAGGAAGCGTACAGCGAATACCTGCTGCAGGAGGGAATCTGCAGGAACATCATCCACACACAAACAAGTCAGCAACATAAAAAGCGCAAGGACAGGAAACAAACCAAAAAAACATCCATGCAGGGGAACAAATTCAAGGTACACAAAAGCACAAAAGAGTTTCAACTGAATTTAGAAAGTGCTTAAGACAGAATGGACCATTAAGATGCATTTGGAACAGGAAAACGGTTACCGTCACTGTCTGTTGAACAGTCATCATCTGTTTCTCCAAATGGATTTGTGCGTCTGTCAGGATGGGAGCACACACACCAGCAAAAAAACAAACAATTAAACCCCTGCGTTGAGCTATTAAGAAGCATTCAGCTTCCTGGAAATTATATAATAACCACAATGAGGCCAACGTTTCGGAAATTAGCATCATCGCCCATCAGTACCTCATCGCTGTCTGTCTCCTGCAAACAGAGCGAGCATAAACAAGCACCCACACAAACTTCCTGCCTCAGCTGTACCCTCACCTTCCTCCGGCTCTGTTCTGGTCCTGAAACTCTGAGGCAGGCAGCATGATGTCAAACTGAATGGGTGTCCCGGGGGCTATCAGGTCCTCTGGTTCCGGAGCAGCACCACTTTTCTGGGAACCACTAGCGTATACACCTCCTGGCTTTGCTCTACAGGAATAAGACAGAAAATGAAGGTAAGTTTGGAGAAATGCAACAAGTAAACCTTCCCAAAAAACACAACTCAATTAGGGATAAGTTCACTTTTTTTTTTTTTTTTACAAGTATACCTTAAAAACAATAATTCAAACAGCGATCCTGACTAGCCATGAAAAGGTTCAACCAAATTCTATTCCTAAATAGACAAACTGAAACAGAAAAATACTCTTAGTTAAACAGATTCATAATGGCTTTGGCTGAACTTCAGAGTGGATTTTTGGTCTCTAATAACTTACACTGCAATTGTTTTGGAAAAGTCTATATGTGTCTAAGCAGTTAGCCAAACAGAAGCCAGTGATACAGAGCAGTGTGACGCAAACTGCAAAGTAAAGCTTCATCTGAGTAAAATATTTACGTCCAGCACACATGCATTAACAATGATGAGTGCCAGGCCACTGATGTTATATCTAAAGTCAGGAAATGAGCTCTAAGGCTAAATGATCAACTATTTTACAGTACATGTAGCTAAATCCGACTTTACGCTACACACAGTATTCATGTACAGCTGCTGGCATTGTTTTTCCTTTCCTCCTGACACAAACTGACTTCATACTAAAATTGGTCTAGATCAACAACAGATACATGAAATGAAATGAATGAAAAATACTTTATTCATCCCAGAAGGGAAATTCAATAATACATGCAGAGGAAGCTGTCTTATTATGATTAAAAAAATAGTATTTCACAATAAATACTAAAGTAAAGAGACAAAACAATGCCAAAAGTATATTGCATACAATGTTGGTCTGTAATTTTCAAAATGACGGACTTGCTACAGTAAAATGATTTAATTCTAAACTTCAGGAGACTAACAGTGAGTTGCGTTCTGAATAAAGTCTTACACAAGTGACAGGCCTGACCTGTCAGGGTTGGGCGAGCCTTCTTGTCTCTTCTCAAAGCTGGTGATGGGGGTGACTGCTTGGATGGCGGTTTGGTTTAGTCGGATGGCCACAGCCTAACATCAGGAAATGGAGACATTGCAGCATGTCTTTATTAGTCATTTAGAAATCCTCCACACTGTAAATACTCCTAAAATATTACCTACCAGTTCTCGACAGTATCTTAACCTCGTGTTTGCTTTGTACCATAAACAGCAGCATCAATCTCTCAAAAAAGCACATAAGGTTTTCTGGTTTTTCTATCTATTTCTGGGTCCACGTTTATATTAGGTGCAGGATTTGGGGGAACTAACGAAAAGATTAGTGTTCATCAGCATCCACCTATTCTTCTGTTCCTGAGTTATGCCATTGAATAATTGCCAAAAAATGCGTTATTGTGGAACATTAAGTTGTCACAGTGATAGTTGACGTTTGACCTTATACGAATCAGATGGACGGATGAACAATCTGAAAACACAACGCCTCCGAACACGTCTATCGCCAGAGCAGAGGCACAAAAACTGTTGACAAAGTAATCCTTCCTTAAGCTGGATTGTAAATTTGAAAATAATTGGAAAATAATTATAAATCATGCTTTAATATACATGAAAAAAATGGTCAAATATTGCAGAGGATGTTATATGTTAAGGATTTCTTAAAGAGCAGGTTTACTCGCTCCAATGAGCTATTATTATATAATTAGTTGAATCTAGGATGTTAGATTTTTTATTTTTTTTTCTAATTTAAATCATTAAGACACACAATAGAGACCATTAGTGACAGACGTAAGGGTGCATCAGTTTTCCCACAAACACCCACGCCACGAGAAAATGAAGGCAAATTGTACAACTATACCAATTAGATAAACTACGTAAGCTGTGTCTGAAATTATTCTCCATCTGCTGCTGGGCGCGCCATACATAATTAGAGCTTTACATATGTTACTCAATTCTATCCAGTACCCTCATCCTTTCTCAGAGTGGTACCATTTTCAGTAGTTTCTATAGTGGGAATAAATACCCATTTATTAGACCCTACATTACTGTGCCTTTGCTCCTGACATGACAAATATGTCATTTTCAACAGGGCAACAGTGCACCTGTTAGTGGTGACACAGATTAATGATTAGTGTCTGAAATCTCTTTTTACTTTTTGTGTTGCAAACTACCAAGTGATTACCATATAAGGAAAATAAATAAGTGAGAAAGAGGGCAATCATTGACAAGAAAAAGCAGTACATTTTCATAGAGCCACTGCCTATTCCACTCATAGTAATATGGGTGAAGGTTTAAATAACTTTGAGTTTTATCCTTCGCTGTCTGGTTTAGTTGATGTCTGGTGTGCATCTATGTGGGTGTGCAAGAAGCCTTTACCTCTGGGTTGTCAGTCAGGTAGATCTGTCTGGAGATGTTGTTCACAGTGCAAATCCACTGAGAAAGAAACACAGACATCAACCTTAGGACTTCCTCTAGCTCCGGCACGAGCAGCCTGAAATCACTTGACTGATACCAGCTGTGACAGGCCAGTCAGATGTGTCCAAGCACAAAACCAAATATGAAAACCACACAAATGAGTCTTGACAGCTCCTCCATTGTTCTATGGCAGCTAGTTGTAGCAGCAAGATATCTTTGTGATGTAGATGCAAAGCAATAAAGGAGATCAAATACAGCTGTTTAAACTGCCTCTCGCACACTTACTTCTTCATATTCCTTTTTGCTCTCAGCTTGTAGAATCATTGACCTGGGGGCATGAAAAAATTACGGAGGGAATTAAATAAAATAAAAATGTTTGTGTATTCGTCGCATTGTTTGAAATAGATAAAAATGTACATACGTTTTTCCTGAGGGGGAGGTTATCTGAAAACAGTAGCGTCTATCCTCACACTCCACAGCCATTACGGAGCTGTTGTCCAGGTCCAGCACCATGCCCCCTGCCACGGCCCCACGTGGCTGGCACATGAGGTTCCCGCCCTGGGTGAAGAAGTATAGTCGGTCCCAGGCTGTGGTCACCAGGCCTGTTTTACTGGAGAAGAAGAAGTAAAAGTATATGGATCAAGGCCATAAATAAGCTGTAAAAGTAGTATTTGGACTTCGTTTTTGTCTGTCAGGGTTCTGTGCTTGAGCTCATTCAATCTGAAATAAAACCATGGCTATGACAATAATACACATAAGCATATGGCATCTGGAAAAGTGTAAATATGTAAACTTCTGCAAGGCATACAACCGCTTGGAGAGGTGTACTGCTTAGTAAGTACTGCATATGCCACCAGTAAAAGACAAGATCTGATGTGGTCTGTTGCACCAGGATCAAAACCTGGTACCAGTTTGTACCACTTTAGTAGTACGTATGGTTATACTTAGACAAATAATCACCAATGAATACTGCTGTCCCTGAAGGATGTATTCAAATAATCATTTCAGAACTAGTTTATTTTCTGCAGGATAATTTAACTCAACCTCCACAGGACAAGTTGTTGTGGCTGATCAGTTACTAATGACAACACACATTTACTTTACATTTTCACAAAGTTAACATGAAGCAGCTTGTTGAAAACCAATTAAATTAAAGATAATATGTTGGGAATTTTTACCCATGCTATGTTGTTTAACTTCACACCGTGTTTTACAGACATTTATTAGCTCTGGGAAGCTAATGTCACACACATTTCTAGAGCAGCTTGTAGCAATAATGACAACAACACACACCACATTAAGGTAAAGTAGGTCTACAGGTGGAGAGATATGAGGTCTAATAATATTAACCCACAGTAATGGTTAAAAGTAGAGAGGCCCCCTAACAAAATTAATACTAGCATAAAAAATAATGTTTGCCTGCTTCACAACACTGACACTCTCTCATTCTGGTTATTAAAAATATTGATATTAACATGGATAAAAAAAATACTGCTCTTTTCTCAAAATATACCACTGAAAACTCAATTTCAATCCAAAAGGCATCTGTCTGCTCCTTTATCAGTGGCCACTAACATCCACACTCTGCACAAACCTCAGCAATATTCATTAACCTGCTATGAACACAGAAACATGTTATTTATTTGTGCAGTTTCATGGCAGAATCATCCACAGCCTTCATAACATCCATATAAATCTGACCACTTTGCTTCAGCATATTCTGCATATTGAGTTAAAGCAGGTGTCCTTCTAGGAAAAATGAACATTCCACAGAGAGAGGAATATTCTCAAATCATAAATCAGCTTCACACGTTGATTAATTAACATTTTATGGTAAATGGGCTAGTATACCTATGGTTATACAAAGAGATCTTGATTAATTTGCATTTATTCTTGAATGAATCACAAGATGTTCCACATGGCTTTAATTCATTTTATATTTAATGATGTTTTATTTATTCATAACTTTAGTACAGGCGAACTTCATTTCCTGTAACAGCACTTTAAAGGGATAGCCTATAAGTCTAAATGTTACCCAGTGTGGTCCACTAAATGATAATATTCTAAAAAAGAACAAACTATTATATTCAGATTGTGAATCATCAGCAGTCTGGTCATGCATTACACGTACTTGTTCATGGTAAAGCTGCAGTGAACCGTTAACGAGAATCCTCCAGTTTCACACCTGACCAAATCATGTTTGTGTGGCTTTGAGGCTGCTGTATTTTACTGTTAAACGAAACCTCTCTCCCACCATTAAATGCCAGGTTTGTCGTCAACCGCTTTTCCGTTCGGTGTTTGATTTCTCGGCTTGTTTTGGTTTTGAATATGTTTTGACTATTAATGTTCTATGTGCCAACATAAATAAGCTACAATGCAATCGAACTGTGAGTCACTTCCTTTCAAAAGTGAGCTACGTCTGTGTGACTCATTTGAATTGCTCATCTGTAAGCCGTCTTCTCGTACGTTCTGTTCACAAAATATTCACAAATAAAATATCTTTGATAAATATTGAAGCGTACGGTTCGCGCTGCCACGGGTGACTCAGACCCTGAATATTGAGAAACCATTTCAAAAAGTAAATGTTCTCTGGCCTCAGCTCCATTTGACAAGCGTTTGAGGCTGCTGGCAGTGTGTGTCATTAAACAGAATGGCATTCTGAGGAAACCTTTTCTCTGGTGTCACAGACATTTGTCAAAGACCTTGGATGTATATGAGGGAGAGACAGAGTTTGACAGCTCTGACATTTTACTAAATCACAATGCGAGCTACGCTGCAGTTTTATCCCCTGAAGCCATTAAAGAAGTTTCCCTTCTCATACATCTACTCTACAATAAGCTGACAGCGCACACTGTCAACATGTTACCTGACCCACCTTGTCTGCTGTGACAGACTTATTGTTTACTGTGTTCATGCATATTTTTTGCAACTTTGGCATGAGAAGCAAGAATCATTTTTCTGGTGTGTTTGGCTGTTTAGACATTCCAAATCTTCTGCAGTCACTGTGTCCAAATTCCACCATGTATTGCATCACAATTTATTTTTGGACAAAATCTGAAATGATTTAAAAGCCTGTTTCTTGGCTGTTCAGTTCATTTACTTCCAAGACACCCTTTAATATACCGTCTGGCAGACACACTGCATAAATAGCAGGTAACCTTGGATTTCAGATAGGACCATAATGAGTGTAATTAATCTTACTTTCTAATGTTGAGGTAGCCAGCCTTCTGGATGAGTGTGCGATTGACAGGCTCACTGTCCTTATCTGGCATGTAGACGGTGTCTTCCACAGACAGAAGCTCCCTCTGGCACACACGCATGGCCTCCGCCTCAGAGTCCAGCTGGGCCTGGATGCTGGACAGAAAAAGTGTTTTTATGCAGGCGAAATTTATTGAAACTAACTTTCAGAAAATAAACTGACATAAAAATATAGGAGTTTCAGAAACTGACACTTAAAAATTATTTCCTTTTAGGTTCATACACAACAAGCCACTTTACATTGTTCATACCAAAGTTATGGTTCATTACTTGTACTGTAGAGACAGAAACTAATATTATTGGGATTTTCTTTACCTTTGTGTCATGTTGGACACAGAGGAGAGAAAATTGTCCATCTTCTTTGACACCAGCTCAATGCCTTTCTTGAAGAAGCTGATCTGAAAAGGCAAGAGATAACAGTAAGTCACATATATTTTATTTTTAGTGTTGCTCACATGGAAAAGTGCAACTACTGATCCTTTTTTATCTCCATTTCAT